AAATCTTTCTCTGAGGAAACACTGGCAATCTCCATTACCTTCCCCTTTTATCATTTTCAGTAATAGGTCCTAGAACTTTCCCTGCTATGGGCATGCGTTTTGTCAAACAATTGGTCTTCACAGAGCATGACAAAGGAGCTTCTCTTCGCAACATTACTGCGTCAGCACCTTCTCTCTCTACATGCCAAACCGCTGAAGCACTGGGCAGAGGTGAGTAATGGAATGACAATGCATTCATCAGTATAACTTAATTCTCAAAAACGTATCACTTCTGATCAAGCTGTTCTGCTAGCAATCTTCACATCCACAAAGCACTGCACTGCGTTCATCTCCCTAAGGATTTTGTCCCCTTAATCATTACAGTAACAAAAACCAAGAGAAAACCACATCAATTTATAAATATAGATATAAATGTTGGTTTATATTGATTGCCTCATTAGTTGATGAGCCAATAAAGAATTTTACTTACAAACTTCAGACTGCAGAATCTTCTGTCCTCACACTATAGGATCCTGCAGTGTTGTGATGGGAACATCTCCATGTTCCCATCACCAAACCTGCTCCCTGCGTATCCCGATCTTCTGCACCTTGCCTCATGGACAACCCTGCTGTGTCTTCTCAAACCAGCCTGCCAACAACATAATTATTTCCTTCACCCTCCACCAAGGAAAGCCACAGCTCTTCCATACCAGTCTTCCAATTGAGACACAATGTAGGAGTCCTTGCTGTAAACATACAGAGCATCAGTACAAACGGTGGGGAGTAGGTATGAATATTGCTCTAAGTACAGCAGCTACACAGGGCCAATCCAGGTGCCCACTTGTAGATACTTCAGATGCCCTTGATGCTGCAGCACTACAGAGACCCACACCTTCTCGTGTCACAGCCAGCTGCCAGGCAAGGAATGCTAAGACTTTTCTAATGGCAACAGATGTCTGTAAGCAGGCAACTGATTTGAACTCTTTATTAGCTAAGATACAGAAATAGCTACCTTTAAGATCAAAACCTGCTCTTAGAGACAACTGGAGAACAGAAAGGTCAGACTAACCACACAAAATACAAAGCTACAAATGAAGAAATAAGTGCTTCAGAGCTTCAGTATGGAGCTGCAAGTGAAGCTGAAGGTGGAGAGAAGTTCTAAGTTCTCTATCGCTCCTTTCCTTCTTTTCTCTCTAAAAGCAGGAAGGTTGTTGAAGAAGGTGCACCCTTACAGGCTTGCAAACCAGAGGCCAAACTGTTCTTGCATAGTTTGCAAACAGAATGGAGACAACCCCCTACTTACCCTCCACACACCACAAGGCTCTCTGGACTGCTTCAACAGGGCTGTACTTCTCTATTTTCACATCTTCTTGGGAAGAAAGCAACGTTGCTTACCACGTAAAGGGAAAGAAAGTCTCACAGAAATGGAAGTTGAAAAAGAACTGTGAGATCATACTGCTTTGTGTGGGAGACCACATGGCTAGACTCCCTTTGAAGGTTTTAAATAGCAGACACCAAGAGCGAATTTAAATTGAATGCACTAAAATCAGAAGTAACATATTCTGACAGTTGCAGCTGATCTTGCAAGACAATAAAGGCAGTGCTACTGTTTGTCTTTGAAGTTGCGAGCAGCAGAACAAAGGGTGGCTGCAAATTTTTTGCTTTGTACCACCTCAGTGACTTCCAGGTCTATAGGACACCGGTTTGACCATTACCGATCAAAGAGGATCCAGCCTCATATGCATGGATATGCAAAAAAGCTAATGTGTACAGAAGCCCCTCAAAACCAAATCAAGCACATGCCATTTTATGTGGTCTTCAGCTTCACCCTTGACTTACAATGACAGATAAACTGCTTTGACTCAAGAGCAGTGTTAAAATACATGTAGCTAAAGCAATGGTTACAGACCCCAATGCTATAGAGTCACTCAGCCCACTTGCACTACAAAACCCTTCTAAAACAAAAAGTTTAAATCAGCATCAAAATGGTTCTGGAATTGCTTCTCCCAGCAGTGGAACAAACCGATGTGAAGCAGACAAGAAAGACAGCATTGAGGATTTCCCATTTTGCAGAAAGCAAGAGAAACAGACAGTAACAAGATTCCCTTCACAGTTTATTCAGGGAAGGAGAGTACAGGTCTGTGCATCGAAATAATGCTGGTCCTGGTGTTTTAACAACTAACTTTAAACATTTTTCTAAACCTTTCAATTTAACCTACAAAAGTTAACTCTCTGAAATATAAAGTATTAAATAATCCTCTTTCCTTCCCCTTATATGCAGTGCACTTACTAGACTTGAAGAAGAGGAAAGTTTAACTTGAATGGTTGACAGTTGCTGCTGCTGTCATTCAGTTTCAGCTTTGAAAAAGCAAGATGCACAACGGTAGTAAAAGAGGATGAAGGGAAGAAGAACAGCAGCAAAGTGCAACTGGTGACCAATGCCAAGATTCACTTGGGAACTTGTCACAAAACCAGATCCAGTACATTGTTTTATCAAACATTCTAAAACCCCTGATGCTTGCAGCAGCATCAGTCATTTGCCCCTCTTATCAGAGGCTGACAAATCTGTTTGAAGTCAAAAGATATGCAAGAGAGCGAGAGCA